CTAGTAACCCCGTTCTTTATATTTAAATAAGAAGGGGAGTCATCACCAAGTGTCTTGACCATGTCTTCATGGATGTGCTTAGGAGACTTTCTTTTTTATCGATACACTTGATCACAGCACACGCTTCTTTTGCGGCCATTTTGTGATTTGCCCTCACCCACCCCATTTTCACAGGGCGTCACGTGCTCATGAATGAATACAAAAATTTGAATTTTTGTGTGCAGTGATGTAAGACGTCATAGTATACAGCTATACCAAAGAATAGGAGTTTGACCTTTATTTTCTAGGTGAGGCCGAGAACTTTTTGAACACCCCTCGTATTACATACAGGATGGTATCTTACGTCTTCCACTGTTTCAGTTTCAGAGAAAGTCAACCCCATTATGTTTGAATTTACGCCATTTTCATGCTTCTTTCAATTAATCTTCGGGCAAGAATTTGCAATAAACCTATCTAGTATAATCACTGGATCTTAAAGTTTTCCACATCCTACAAAATTTACACATCTGTGAAGGCTTCTACTAAGCAGTTTAACCCTATTCAGACCGGGGGGAGGGGAGCTTTTGAGGCCCGTGCCAACTTTCATCTTGGATAGCGCCCGAACGGCTTGGACTAGAACCGTCAAATTTGGTAACTTTTCCCAAAAAAATAATTGGCAACAACTTAATATTAATTAGATATGTTCCTGATTTTTCGTGTTGCCATGGCAACGGGTTTTTGACAGGCAGTTTTTGGGAAAATCAGTAATTTTGCTTCAACCATTAGAATTTTCTAGGTTCTATGTTTATTTACACTTCCTTTTAACATTTATAACATCTTGTATAATTGATATAATTTCTATCATTAAAAATTCATAATTTTGCTAATTTAATGACGTCATTGGTCAAAATCCAAGATGGCGGAGCATATAATTAGCTCTTGGGTAACCATGGTTTTTTCACTAATTTTTTTCACATAAAATGCTCATATGAACATCTAATTATGCTTAATTATGCATGACGTCATTTATGACGCCATTTTGACGTCAGTGTTGTTGCCAGGGGCAACATAAGTCTTAGCAGACATTAATATCCTATCATATCATATCTTTTTGTTTAAGTTTGGTTTTGTTCCACTGAGTTTTCCGGCTATGTATACCCACTATGTGGTGAAGTCATCTTGTTTTTCCTCGTGTTTCTTCTTCTTCTTCTCCTTCTCCTGCCATTTCGTTAAATGGATTCAATTTCTTCATTTTTGGGCCAAATGACATGAAATTCGGCATGAAGGTAGAGTGGGCAAATACCCCCAGGCTTTTTTTCTTCATTTTTTTGAAAAATTGTTTTATTTGAGTTTTTTGGCCATTTTCAGGCAAAAATATACGTTTTGGGATGTGGAGCCCTGGTAATACAACCAAATGACCTGAAATTTGGTATGGAGATACCTTGGACATATGTCTACAAAATTCCATTCAAGCTTTTGACATACACCACTTTAAAATTGTTTAGAATAGGGCTTTTTGGTTATTTTCAGACAAAAAAAACCAAAAAGCCCTATTCTAAACAATTTCCTGTGCACGTGCCCAAATATTAAATCCGAATGACCTGAAATTCGGTATGGGGATACCTTGGGCACATGTCCAAAGAATGCCATTCACGCTTTTGACATACACAACTTAAAAGTTGTGTAAAATATGGCATTTTGGCTATATATTTTCAGACAAAATCTGTCCATTTTGGGTCGTGGATACCCAAATTTGGTATGGGTATGCTTTATATATCTGCCAACAACAATTAATTGTAATTTTTGGCATACTCTCCCTTAAACGTGTATAATTTAGGACTTTTTGACCGTTTTTAGGTCACAATTTATGATATAGTTGGGGATGACTATCCATGAGTCATCAGTTGAGTCTGGCATGCAGAGCAAGAAACAATAGACATGCAGCTTTTTTTGAGCATGCCCCAAAAAACGGTCTGAATTGGGTTAAAGATATAGCAGCTTTACGGCTGGCCCGTATCAAAGCCCGCCATCCTTCTGGACCAATTCAATACAATAAATACAAACAGCAAATTGAACACAAAGAGACAATTAAGCAAGTCGTCTTGTCGTACAAAAGAGTAAAGAATACGTCACTGAGAATATATGTATATTTTGTGCACTGGACCCAGTCCTTTGGGACAAATTACGCATTATAGTACTAGAACTCATATAAAAGAACGAAATTCCACCTTATTGATACTACTATTTCATTGCCTGGATGTTGAGCGTTTATGGGTCACAATGCCTATCTTTGACTGCCTATGATTTCAATGATCTATTTCTCCTGTGATTCAGATAAAAGCCAAACATTTCGTATCGTGGGAAGAAAACAACCTTTGGAACAGACATCGGAGTGATATATTGACGCCTCTCTTGTACAAAAGAATCCGACTTCTGACGTGTTTTTCAAGTTGTGACTTTGATGGAAATCCATCCCAGCTGTTATTACCGTCCCAGCCCATTATGTGTGACATTTTGCAACTGAGGCCATGCCATGGTTCTTCTTGGTGGACGTCATTCCAGTCTGGGCCTTAAACAGCGTCAACATCATTTTGAAATGTATCAATTAAGTTTCGCGATAAATGTTTACAAACACAAGTATTCTTCTGTGTTCACAAGTACTGTATTTTCTTTATTCAAATTAACGACACGAGGTCATTTCCACATCCTTCCTGGGGCAGACCTGAGATAGCAGAAATGAACCGGAAAGCTGCAACTTCCAAATAGGAAACATGACAAAGGCAAACCCAGCTATGACTTGAACAGACACGGAAAGGCAATATCTGTTCTTGAACATAATTGTTCCAATATCTACTGTCTCTACTAGCTTGGAGAATTTTACTTCAGAGATCACACTTCTGTTGACTACATTTTCTTTCCAGATCATTCAGTATCAGTCGTAAATGTAAACTGTCTTTGCAAACTGATCCCCGAAGGCTAATTTCACGATGGGGTGAAAGGATAGAAAT